TCCCCCCCCCCCCCCCCCGGGCAGCCCCCTCCCCGGGCCACACCCTGCCTAGGGCCTGCTGTGGGCAGGCCCACAGGCTCCCCTTGGGCCCCAAGAACAGATAAACAAGTGAGGGGAACGCAGCAGATTGGTCTGGGCCCCGGCTCCCCTGAGCCCCTGGCTGGGCTCCCGGGGCCGGGCTGGGCCTTTGTCTGGGTTTTCAAAAGCAGAGGACATAGGGTGTCGCCTTCCTGGGAGGGGGGCAGGCAGGAGGCAGCAGCTCCCACCCAGCTGAGGGTGTGGCGGGTCACGGGTGAATCCCTGGAGGAAAGTTGCAGGCTCAGAAAACACACCCAGTGGGAAGGGCAGAGGAGCCGGGCCGGGTGGGCTGGCTGGACCTCCATGTCCGGCCCCAGGCGGGGTGGGGACCCGGCCCTCAGTGGGGCAGCTGCTGGCCCTGGGACAGTGTAGGTGGGCTGCGGGACACCAGACACCCCCTTCCCAGACCCTGCCCACGTAAACGCACCCCACAACCTCCCTGCATCCACCTGTGGGAGTGGGGGTGTGGGGGGATACCCTGACGCCAGGAAGAGAGGACCTGCGTGGGAAGCGACCAGGCACACTCACTGGGCACCTCCTGGTGCAGGACCGTCTGCCCGGCAGCTCCTCACCCAAGCCCCCAGACCCAGGCTGCCCACCGCATTCACACCGGGGCCAGCGGGCTCTTGGCTACATCATTTGGGGCCCCACCTCGGGGGACACTTTCCCCAGGAAGGCATGAGACCCAAGCTCCCCTGCTGGAAAGCACCTGGTCCTCTGGTCTCACACACATCCCAAACCCGGAAGCCCCCTACAAGCTGGGACTTCGGGCGGGTGGATCCTCGCCTTAGCAGGGGCTCCGGACAGCACTTGAGGCCCTTGGGGAGGGCAGCCAGGCGAGGGAGGACCGGCCGGCGCGCATCCAGGGCGCAGGGCACGGCGAGCTCAGGCTGGGGGTGGGGGAGTGAGCTCACGGCCGGCCGGGGCAGTGGGGAGGGTCGCCCCATAGCCCCAAGTGGACGAGGGCCTGCCCCGGGGGTGCGGGCCGAGCGCGGGCGGAGACAGAGCGCATCCCCTCCCCACCCGCGCGCGCGTCCCGGGCCGCCCCCAACCGCTGCCGCCCGAGTCCCCAGGAACCCGTGGGCCGCCGGGGCCGAATCGTGGGGAGGCCTGGGGCGGGCACGACCCAACCCGCGTCTCTCCCGGGCTGAGCGGGGATCCCGGAAGCCCCGTGCCACCTCCCTGCCCGCGCGGTGTCGGCGGGAGTGGGGCCCTCAGCCTCCCTGGCGCCCCCGGCCCGAGCGCGTTACTCACTCCATCTCCCCGCCGAGGTCCGAGGGTCCGCGAGGCCGGGCGGCGGGGGCGCGCGGGGAGTGCCGGCGGGCCGGCGGGCTAAGGCCTGGCGGCCTGGGCAGAACGGCGCGGGGGTGGCTGCACCGGCGCGGGCATCGCCCCGCGCGCGGCTGTTTATTGTCCGCGCGGCGGCGGGCGCGGGGGGTGGGCTGGGCGCGCGCGCCGCCGCCGCCGCCGCGTTTCGCTCGCGCCCCCTCCCGCCGGCTCCCGCCTCCCGCCGCCGCCCGCCTGCGCCTCCTGCCGGCCGCCGCCGCCGCCGCCGCCGCCGCCGCGCCCCGGCCGCCAGGCGTCTGCCCGCCCGGCCCGCCGGAACCTCCGGCAGCTCCTACCCATTCATTCTATCTCGGCGCGGGGCTGATTCTCCGGCCGAGCCAGTCCGGAGTCGTCCTGGGACGCAGCCTGGCCGCCATCCATCCCACCCCTGCCCGGCTCCTGGTCCGGAGGGTGAGCGAATGGGGACAAATAGCCCGGGGGAAGTCCAGGAGGCCGCTCCGAGGACCACGGCCCTGCTGCGGGCGGAAGGACCCGCAGACTGTCTGCGGGAGTATCTGGGGAAGAGCATCAGGGTAGCGGGCACTGCAAGCTCAAAAGGCCGGCGGTGGGACCGAGCCAGGCCCGTTTGAGGAGAAATGATCATAATAGAGCAATTGCTGGTCTTCTGAGCGGTGGCTGGGCTCTGGGGATGGCCCTACAGTTGGATGAGGGTTAAGGAATTGAATCTGCTCCCACGGGGCAAACAGGCCTGCGTGCTCAGAGTGAGAGGGGTCCGTAGAGGGGGCAGGGAGAACTTAGACTTTGTCTTGAGGGCACTGGGGAGCCACAGCAGAGTTTAGAGCAGGAGAGGGGTCACCCCGGTTTATGTTTGTGAAGGCCGCTCGAGCTGCCAGGTGGGGAGTGGATGAAAAGGGGCTAAGGGGGTGGGGGGGGGGGCTTGGGGGCCACAAAAGGCTGGACCGGGGCCCCCAGGGGCATGGCAGAGGCTGGACCAGCGTGAGAACCAGGTGGATTCTGCATGGATCTTGAAGGGGGAGGCTGCAGGATTGCTACGGGATGGGATGAGAGATGACAGGCATCCCTCATCATCCCTCAGGCCCCTCTCCAGCCTGAGCTCCTAGAAGGACATGCGGACATGAACGGGGCCTGGGAGATGACAAGGGGGCCTTGGTCGGGCAGCTGGATGCCCAGGTTGGAGTTTGGGTCACGTGAGACCCAGCCTGGGCTAGAGGGGAGGCTCCCCAGGGTGGGGAGCAGATTCAGGCAGCAGAAAGAGCTGGCTCGCTCCCCTGCCGTCCCCTCGATTCCCTGTAGTCCATCTTGGATCCTTCATCTGTGCAGACCCCACAGAGCAGGAGGGAGGCAGGATCTGTCCCCACCAACGTGTTCTTAGAAGGACACTAGCCACCGGGCCCCGAACACACTTATTCCATGGGGTGGGGGAGGGGGGGTGCAGAGAGAGAGGTTCTTCCAAAGCCCTTAGGGTTTTTGTAAAACTGTTCTGCTCAGCTGGTGCTCAGTAAATGGGTGTGTAAAGGGAAA